ACAGCTCACAGCAACCTCCAGCTCCTGGGCTCAAGCGAGTCTCCTGCCTCAGCCTCCCAAGTAGCTGGGACCACAGGTGCCTGCCACAATGCCCAGCTATTTTGGTTGCAGCCATCATTGTTGTTTGGTGGGCCCGGGCTGGATTCGAACCCTCTACTTATAGGTGTATGTGACTGGTGCCTTAGCCACTTGAGCCATAGGCGCCAAACCTGCTCTTCCAACTTCTGACCTCAAGCATTTTTCCTGTTGTTAGCCTTCCAGAGTGCTAGGATAATAGGCATTAGCTACTACAACCAGACAGATTTTCTTTTTCTTTATTATTTTTTCTGTAAAGACAGAGTCTCACTTTATCGCAGTTGGTAGAGTGCCATGGCATCACAGCTTACAGCAACCTCCAGCTCCTGGGCTTAGGCGATTCTTTTGCCTTAGCCTCCTGAGTAGTTGGGACTACAGGCACTCACCACAATGCCTAGCTATTTTTTTTGTTGCAGTTTGGCCGGGGCCGGTTTTGAACCTGCCACCCTCTCGGTATATGGGGCCGGCTCCCTACTCACTGAGCCACAGGTGCTGCCCTTTTTTTTTTAAAACTGTGGCATGCTTCATGAATTCGAGTGTCATCCTTGCACCAGGACCATGCTAATCCTCTCTGTATTGCTCCAAATTTAATGTGCTGCTGAAGCCAGTATAGGGTCTAAGTTTTATATTTAAGGTTTTAAGAATTATTAATGAGTAGTGACTATTATATACCTCTCATGACTACAAATCTGTTATTTTTGTGAGATGTCTTCAAAGCTGTCTTTTCTCCTGCTTCTGCATAACCAAGAGAGACTTGTTTCTTTAAAATTGTAACGGGACCTGGGAATAAATGAGTGAGCACCAGCCTGATTTTAAACATTCCTTCCCTTTCCTTCCTTTCCCCTTCTCCTTCTCCCTCCTCTTCCCCTTTCTTTTCCCTTTTTTTTTTTTTTTTTTTGATGTGTTCTCACTCTCTTCCCCCACCCCCACCCCAGAGTGCTGTGGCATCATCATAGCTCACTGCAACTTCAAATGCCTGGGGTCAGGTGATCCCCCTGCTGCAGCCTTCTGAGTAGCTGGGACGTTATGCCTTTGTTTTCTGCCTCCTTTTATTCTTAATATTTTCTTTGAGGTTTGGTGCCTGTAGCTCAGTAGCCAGGGTACCAGCCACATACACCAGAGCTGGTGGGTTTGAACCCAGCCCAGGCCTGCCAGACAACGACAACTGCAACCAAAAAATGGCCAGGCGTTGTGGCAGGCACCTGTAGTCCCAGCTACTTGGGAGGCTGAGGCAAGAGAATTGCTCAAGCCCAAGAGCTTGAGGTTGCTGTGAGCTGTGATGTAATAGTACTCTACCCAAGATGACATAGTGAGACTCTGTCTCAAAAAAAAAAAAATTGGGCGGTGCCTGTGGCTCAGTGAGTAGGGCGCCAGCTCCGTATACCAAGGGTGGTGGGTTCAAACCTGTCCTCTGCCAAACTGCAGCAAAAAAATAGCCGGGCATTGTGGTGGGTGCCTCTAGTCCCAGCTACTTGGGAGGCTGAGGCAAGAGAATCACCTAAGCCCAAGAGCTGGAGGTTGCTGTGAGCTGTGACACCATGGCACTCTACTGAGGATGACAAAGTGAGACTCTGTCTCTTCAAAATATATATATACACTTATATATTTTTTTCTTTGAATTCATCAAATGCTTAATGCTTCTCAGGTCTTAGCATATGTTCTTTCTTTGGATGCCTAGCTAACTTCCTCTCTTCCTTTAAATCTCTCTTTTTCTTTTTTTTTTTTTTGTTAAACAGGCCTGGGCTGGGTTGGAACCACCACCCCTCGTGCATGGGGGCCGGGTCTCTAATGTCGCAGCTCGCAGCAACCTCAAACTCTTGGGCTTAAGTGATCCTTTTGCCTCAGTCTCCCAAGTAGCTGGGACTACAGGCTATAGGCGCCCATCACAACGCCTGGCTGTTTTTTTAGAAATGGGGTCTTGCTTTGCTTAAGCTGGCCTTGAACGCCTGAGCTCAGGCTATCCACCTATGTTGGCCTCCCAGAGTGGTAGGATTTCAGGTATGAGCCACTGTGCCTGGCCCCGTAAATCTCTTTTAAAATATCACCATCTTGGCTTTATCTGCTTTAATTTCCATGCTTTGTACCCTTGCAGTTGTTTGTGAAAATACAGTAATTCTAGTCAGAAAGCGATAAGAGGAGAAAGGGCTGTGAATTTGCTCATTTCTACCAGGGAATACGCTGTGCCATGTAGTGAAAAAAGATGACTGCTGTTGAGTTGCAGCAGAAGTGAATGACTTGCTGGGGTCATAATTGTTGTTTCATCAATTTTACCTTCCCCCTTTTATAGTTGGGTAGTTCTGTTTAGAGGTAGAAGGGTGATAAGGAAAACATAGTAATATTGGGCTGACTTTTACTGAGGGAGGAGGATGTGTGCGTTTTGCTCATGGCCTTACTGCTACCTAAGACTGTATAAATTAAATTAGTAAAGCCTAAATTGCTAAAACAGATTGAAAATGAGTAATGGGTCAGACACAATAGGCATTTATTTCTCTCTCTTAGAACAGTTACAGTGTATGGTCCTCAATGGTGGGTGGTTCTTTCCCAAGTAATTTATTCCATCTTGTGACTCTCTTATCCCCTTTGACCAGTGGAAGAGGAAAGAGGAGGTGTAAGCGCCACATCAGCTTTCTTAAAAGCCCTGACCATAACTGGGCCAGGTCCTTTCCACTCAACATTCTTTTGGAGAGAACTGCTAATTGCACAGGAAATTGAAATGTGTAGTCTGCCAACTACCCAGCCACAATCCCCTAACTGGAGAATGAAAAGCATTCTCTATTACAGTGACCTTTGTACAATCATCTTATTTCTATAGATCTCAGTTTCTAAAGTATAGAGATCTATACTGAGAAGATTTACAACACATACACCCTTTTTCTTAGTGATTAAATTTAAAAGGCACAAAGTGTCTCTGTTGTTTCTCCATTTACCTTGTTTCAACTCAGTTTTGAGGGAATGTGAGATGTTAAAGATAGTTTTTTTGGAGACAGAGCCTCAAGCTGTTGCCCTGGGTAGAGTACTGTAGCATCACAGCTCACAGCAACCTCCAACTCTGGGCTTAAGCAGTTCTCTTGCCTCAGCCTCCCAAGTAGCTGGGACTACTGGGGCCTGCCATAACACCAGGCTATTTTTTGGTTGTAGTTGTCATTTGGCAGGCAGAGGCTGGATGTGAACCTGCCAGCTCTGGTGTATGTGGCTGGCGCCTTAGCCACTTGAGCTACAGATGCCAAGCCTAAAGGTAGTTTTAATCATTGTCTGCTCTCTAGCTTTACCCAAGTTCTGGGTGTAAACTGCCTCATAGTCTTAGAGCAGCACCTGGAAGGTTATTATGTGAGATGAAGTAATGCTGAGGTTATGTGCTAGTATGAAATTATAAATATGTTACTATGGTATTAGTTACTTTTGAAATGTTAAGCTGAGAATGTGTTTATTCTACATTTTCTTTGGAAAATTTAAGAATTTTAAATACAGGTATGCTTAAAAATAAGAAAGTTGACATCAATTTATTCATAAATTTGTATGGTGTTAGCATTATGAGTTCAAGGAAATTGTCTTGATAGTTTTTGTAACTGAAATTTGATACAGAACAAAGTTGACTGATGGAGTTGAATTTATTTATTTATTTTATTTATTTTTGTTGCAGTTTGGCCAGGGCCGGGTTCAAACCAGCCATCCTCGGTATATGGGGCCACTGCCCTATCCACTAAGCCATAGGTGCCTCCCAATGGAGTTGAATTTTTATATGAAGATACAGTTTTTAAAATTCATTGAACCTATTCTGCCTTTTTCTTTGGAAATGATAACATTAAAGATTAATGTGGGCTGGGCGTGGTGGCTCATGCCTATAATCATAGTGCTTGAGTGACTGAGGTGGGTGGATTGCCTGAGCTCTCAGGTTTCAGACCAGCCTGAGCAAAGTAAGACCCTGTCTCTACAAATTGAAAAACTATCTAGGTGTTGTGTGGCAGGTCCCTGTAGTCCCAGCTACTTGGGAGGCTGAGGTAAGAGAATCACTTAAGCCCGAGAACTGGAGGTTGCTGTGAGCTGTGATGCTATGGTACTCTACTGAGGGGACAAAGTGAGACGCTATCTTAAAAAAAAGATTAAAGTAATTTAATTTCTTTTTTTTATTCTACAAAACAATAATTTTAGTTTTTATTTTAAATTCTCAATTCTGGGGCAGTGCCTATGGCTCAGTGAGTAGGGCGCCAGCCCCATGTACCAAGGGTGGTGGGTTTGAACCCAGCCCCGGCCAAACTGCAACCAAAAAAAAAAAAAAATAGCTGGATGTTGTGGCTATTGTGGCGCCTGTAGTCCCAGCTACTTGGGAGGCTGAGGGAAAAGAATCACCTAAGCACAGGAGCTGGAGGTGGCTTTGAGCTGTGACACTACAGTACTCTATAGTCAAGGGTGATAAAGTGAGACTCTGTCTCTAAAAAATTAAATAAATAAATAAATTCTCAGTTCTGTTTAAATTTCAGTACAATTTTGGTCTGAGCAATGGTGATTAAAGTTCTTTGTTGATGATACACTGAAGTTATATGTATATATGAGTGTTAGAAGAAATTTGTCCTGTAAGAAATGTCTTGCCTGAACCCCTAGCTACTTGGGAGGCAGAGGCAGGAGGATTGCTTGAACCCAAGAGTTTGAGGTTGCTTCCAGCTAACGCCAAATGTTCTGACCTAGACAACAGAATGAGCCTCTGTCTATAAAAAAAAAAAAA